ATACACACATAACCCGACAAGCAGCCTCACCCAACATACAAGCAGCATCCCAAGAAAAAAGCAACACCACAAGTAACCTATCCACATACACATAACTTCACTAAAAGCCAACCCCACAAGCAGCCTCCCCACACATATGCAACACTACAAGCAGTAAACATTTAGCAGACTTGATCACCTCTCTCGAATGCAGGCAGCGGTACCTGGTCGTTGAACACCTGGAATTATTTTCAAATACTCTACCTCACGATCACCGGGAAAACCGTACCACAACCCCCTCTTTTCACAGACAAGCCAGGAGCGTGCTTTTTGGGGAAAAGACACTTTCGACTGGGAGGAGCATTCACACCCTAAGAGCTAGGGGGAGCATTAGTTTATATTCACACACGAACTACCCAACGTTGACCGGCCGCAACCTATTTCTCCTTGGAGTTATTTTGGGCTACAACCACGTGGCCAGCTCGTCGGAACTTTCCCCATTGATGATTCCCCTCCACTGGGTGGATCTGAGTGCTATTTGGACAACTTGGGTGCTCAGTTCTCAGCTATTCGGTGATATAAGACATGTGGGGTTCCTGTGGAATTTGAATGTGTTTTTTTTGTTGTTGCATATTTTATGTATGGTTCCCTGTAACTGTGAGATAATTGAGTTAACAGTCTTTGACTCAATTGTCTCCCAGACACAGGGACGTCTGGAAGGAGTTTGTGTTATATTGTATGGAGACCCCACGCTGGGGTCTGTGCATAAAAGGCAGACTGTAGCACAATAAAAATCAATTGTACTCGGAGAACAGTGTGGTTGTCCAGTTACTGGGGAGGGATAGAGCTATTCACTTTGTAGCCCCTTGTTTCAGAGTTCCAGTTCCTACGGATCCAACGGAGAAAAGTCCTTGTCAGGACTACAGGGAGTGCAGAATTATTAGGCAAATGAGTATTTTGACCACATCATCCTCTTTATGCATGTTGTCTTACTCCAAGCTGTATAGGCTCGAAAGCCTACTACCAATTAAGCATATTAGGTGATGTGCATCTCTGTAATGAGAAGGGGTGTGGTCTAATGACATCAACACCCTATATCAGGTGTGCATAATTATTAGGCAACTTCCTTTCCTTTGGCAAAATGGGTCAAAAGAAGGACTTGACAGGCTCAGAAAAGTCACAAATAGTGAGATATCTTGCAGAGGGATGCAGCACTCTTAAAATTGCAAAGCTTCTGAAGCGTGATCATCGAACAATCAAGCGTTTCATTCAAAATAGTCAACAGGGTCGCAAGAAGCGTGTGGAAAAACCAAGGCGCAAAATAACTGCCCATGAACTGAGAAAAGTCAAGCGTGCAGCTGCCACGATGCCACTTGCCACCAGTTTGGCCATATTTCAGAGCTGCAACATCACTGGAGTGCCCAAAGCACAAGGTGTGCAATACTCAGAGACATGGCCAAGGTAAGAAAGGCTGAAAGACGACCACCACTGAACAAGACACACAAGCTGAAACGTCAAGACTGGGCCAAGAAATATCTCAAGACTGATTTTTCTAAGGTTTTATGGACTGATGAAATGAGAGTGAGTCTTGATGGGCCAGATGGATGGGCCCGTGGCTGGATTGGTAAAGGGCAGAGAGCTCCAGTCCGACTCAGACGCCAGCAAGGTGGAGGTGGAGTACTGGTTTGGGCTGGTATCATCAAAGATGAGCTTGTGGGGCCTTTTCGGGTTGAGGATGGAGTCAAGCTCAACTCCCAGTCCTACTGCCAGTTCCTGGAAGACACCTTCTTCAAGCAGTGGTACAGGAAGAAGTCTGCATCCTTCAAGAAAAACATGATTTTCATGCAGGACAATGCTCCATCACACGCGTCCAAGTACTCCACAGCGTGGCTGGCAAGAAAGGGTATAAAAGAAGAAAATCTAATGACATGGCCTCCTTGTTCACCTGATCTGAACCCCATTGAGAACCTGTGGTCCATCATCAAATGTGAGATTTACAAGGAGGGAAAACAGTACACCTCTCTGAACAGTGTCTGGGAGGCTGTGGTTGCTGCTGCACGCAATGTTGATGGTGAACAGATCAAAACACTGACAGAATCCATGGATGGCAGGCTTTTGAGTGTCCTTGCAAAGAAAGGTGGCTATATTGGTCACTGATTTGTTTTTGTTTTGTTTTTGAATGTCAGAAATGTATATTTGTGAATGTTGAGATGTTATATTGGTTTCACTGGTAATAATAAATAATTGAAATGGGTATATATTTGTTTTTTGTTAAGTTGCCTAATAATTATGCACAGTAATAGTCACCTGCACACACAGATATCCCCCTAACATAGCTATAACTAAAAACAAACTAAAAACTACTTCCAAAAATATTCAGCTTTGATATTAATGAGTTTTTTGGGTTCATTGAGAACATGGTTGTTGTTCAATAATAAAATTAATCCTCAAAAATACAACTTGCCTAATAATTCTGCACTCCCTGTAAAGCTTTTTCACATGTATCATCCAACCATCAAACTAGTCACATTCACCATCTAATCATACCCAATCTAGTTGCATTCACGCATCCAATCAAATACTTCAAATAAGTCCCATTTACTTATCCAATCAACTATACCAAAGTTTTTGCATAAATGTATATATGATGGGAAGGGCGTGGGGGGACTGGCCATGGATGGTAAATCCTGATCTAATTGTCCCTTATATTTATTGATGTTATGATAAAGTTTTCTGCATCTGTCTAAACTATTAGTAGGATCCCCCTCACAGAATAACCCCTCCACCAAAGCACTGCACCCCCCAGATGATCTATTTGTGTACCTCTTACTTAATTTATTTTTGTACCTCTTACTTAATTTATTCTATTTCCCTCAATTGTCTCTCACCTTATATTGACCCTTCACCATATCCCCCATTATTATCAGTCTCCCAGCACATATTCTCTTTCCCTCATCCCTACTTTTTTTCTAGAACAGAAAAGGTGCATCACTGGATGAGTCCCTGCAGTGTACTCATCCATACAGGACCCATATTGTATCAGTTCAGAACCAGGTGCAGTATGGCAGATCTATAACACAGCATAATATCCTTGCTCTCTCTATTGGTGCTTGTAACATCTAACATAGAAGCAGAAGAGTCCTGAGAGAGCCCGTCCCCCTGCCTAGTCCATGTCACCTGGCTATGCCACATCACAAAATACTGTATAAGGTGCTACTTCTGCTCACATTTACATAGGCCAGTCTCAGTGAAGTCACATCTGTAGATATGGATGTATGTATCTATCTATCTACACACATATACATATTCCTCTTTTTTTTTCTAGCAGAAACAGGATATTACATTCAAATAAGTGGTTGAATTAGCACATGGATGACCATGTGAGCAGTAACGCCACGCCAAGGCTTCAACCCTTGTTACTGACCATTCACACACCTTTCACATCTCTTTTCACTCACTGAATCAATCACCATTCACTCCTCAATCATAACCAATACAACACATCCATCCATCCCACATTCACTCTCTCACACACCTTTCATATGTCTTTTCACTCACTGAATCACACACCAATCGTTCTTCACTCATAACCAGTACAAAACGCACACCCATCCATCACCCTCTCACACTTTCTCACATATCTTTAACACTTGTGGAATCACACCATTTATTCCTCAGTCACATCCATCCACTCGTCCATCAACCCATCCATCCATCACCCTTTCTCACACACCTTTCATATCTCTTTTCATTCACTGAATCACACACCATTTATTGCTCAGTCACATCGATTCACCTGTTCATCAACTCATCCATTCATCACCCTTTTCTCCCACACCTTTCATATCACTTTTCACTCGCTGAACCACATACCATTCACTTCTCAGTCACAACCAAGAAAACATGCACAGGTATCCATCCACCACCTTCACTCTTTCTCACACACCTTTCATATCTTTTTTCACTCACTGATTTATACAGCATTCTGTCCTCATTCATGACCAGAACGACACACACACAAACACTCACACATGCATTTATTTTACAGTAAGGCAAGGTATTTAAACCCATGTCCGGACTAATTTTAAAAGGACACTATAGGCACCCAGACCACTTCCGCTCATTGAAGTGGACTGGGTGCAGTGTCCCTGTCCCACTTAGTCCCGCAATATTAATAATTGCAGTTTACATTGCAGTACTAAGACTGTCACTAGTGGCTACCAAACCGCTACTAAGGGCGCTTCCAGGATTCAAAGGGCATCTGAGTCCCTTAAAACAACGCTGGACGGCCTCTGCATGGCGAAATCCAGCATCAGTGAAAACCCCATAGGAAAGCTTGTTGCTCATGCACATTAGTTGCCATCAGAGGAGGAAGCGGAGTGAATCAGGTAAGTAAATAGAGATTTTTAAAACCCCTTTATATGCTGGAGACGGGGCCCGTGAGGGAGGGGTGGGAAATAGTGTTAGAAATACAGGTTTGTTTTCCTAACACTATAGATTCACTGTAAGTTACTGTTATTGGCTGTGTTGTTGAAAAAGCTTGTCAGATGATTAAGAGCAGTGGATTGTATGATTCCACCAATAACATTAGCCAATTACTGCCAAGTGGACAGAGAGGATTGAGATGGCATTAGACGTGGCCAAGACCTGCGCACCCTAGATTGGTGGTATTTGGCGTACTAGGGGGTACCTACCTATTAAAGAATATGACTGACACTTGTACATGGTGCGGGTGGTGAGGATCGCTTGGCAGATTCATTAGTGGAGTAGACACCTACATACAGATAGCCACTCCAAGTAGTCTATGGAGACTGTGATAAAAACTGCACATCACAATCTTTTTTGTAAAACTCAGCCTAGAGATGTACAAGAGGACACTTTACAAAAACATTTTTCACATTTTATAAATTGTGATAAAAAGAAATTTGATGTTAATCTTTTGCTAGAATAAAAAAGCAGTGTGCAGCTAGCTGTGTTCAGGTCTTGCCATCACAGTCAGTTTCTAAGAATAACGCAAATTAAAAAAAAAAAACAGCCAGTTATTTTCACTAGTTGCTGTTAAACATAAATTTAATTAAATTTCACTCACAACAGTTCACTTCACTGCTGATTGAGAATGTAAAAAAAAAAACTGACACAGCCAGTAACTTTACTACCTGTGCAAAAAGAAAAACAGTGACAGAGCAGTTACTTCACTGCCTGCACAGATAAAAAAAAATAAAAAGATAAACATTAACAGTTGCTTCACTGCCTGTAGATATAGAAGGAATAAAAACTTCAAAATAAAAGTGCGGACACTGCAAGTTACTTCACTGCCTGTCCAAAGAAAAAAAAAAGTAAACTCTGACTGTGGTTGTGATCTTACAGCACTAGCTAAACTAAAGACAACTGTAGTATAGCTAAACAGCTGCCTGACCACTGCAGTTTTTAGCGTTTCATTCGTTGCACATGGTTAAGGAGCAAAGGGGAGACGCAGCAGCTCGACCCTCTTCTGGCGACAATCCAGCAGATCCCACTCAACCTACATCCCAGGGTAATGGGGCTGGAGCATATGGGCAAGCCCCCCTTCATTTGCCCCAAATTCTAACAACTCACTAACAAGACAACACTTTGCATGTTACTTTACCCTTTCAAGGTCCCTCGTTGTCAACAGGGAAAGAGATGTTGGAAGAAATTTCACAACGCTGCTGTAGACTGGGAGAGGATGTTAAAAGAAAATCCAAGAAATAATTTTTGCTGCTCTGGTGGAATCGGTGGAGTAAATGCTTCGTAGCTAGATATGGTTGTCTCTTTTATCACTTTTGCTGTTAAACTCTCCAGTGTTGGCTACAAAGAAAAGACATAATAACACACTGTAGTATTTACAGTTGACTATATGCAAGAAAACTTCCATTAAGAGTTGCCACACTTAAAAAGCTGTATAAGAAAACCAATATGGGTGTAAAATATACCCATGGTGGTGGGGTTAAATATTATCACACGTTTTCTTCTGACCTTTTTATAAATTACTCTCCACTCCACAGCCTTTCTGTTGGAGAACAAGGAGAAGACATTTGCCATAAAACCTCTGGTTTTATTTTTGTATGTAAGAGAATCAATTAGTTCTTTCAATGTAGGTATTGGCATAATTGGGAAAGGAGCTAGATATACAGCTTGTCAGGAAGGAACAGAAATGGGTTTCTGGCAACGTACAGAGGTACAGAAATGGCTGGAGAGTATAGTAAAGGCTACTAAGCATTATGAGAAATATTGTTTAGAAAATATGCAGGGCTGCCAACTTTAGATATTGTTTGTGTTTATGAGTCTCGGGGCTTAATTTCTCATAATACTTTGGCTATACCCAAAGACAACCAATAATCCACAGACCGGTCACACCACCATGTCACCTTGATTGTCCCTCTTTTCGTTATATAAAATGGTCACCAGGTTTACTAAGTTTCAACTCATATTAGAGCTTTATTGAAGCTTTACAATTTTCAAAGCCGGTTTTACTGGCACTAGAGAAACCCTTTAAAATCACCTGTTTCAAATAAATAGATGTTACAGACGATTGGGATTCACCTTGTCCACCTGATTTACCCCTGTAGAGGAGACAGGCCTGCATTGCAGTTCCATCTTGTGAGTGCGTTTCTTCCACCACCCAATGTCTTTTGTTTGTAGTTATTAAACTATTGCATATTTTTTCTTTTAGATTCTATTTTGCATACCTTGCAGGTTGTAGTTTTATTATCCACTTTTGGGTGGTTTCTTTATATTATATGTAGAGTTCTCCAATTTTGTTATATACTATTGTATATTTATTTTGGGTTCACATATAGTTTTTGTGTTTGGTAAGAAACATTTTTAGGAGACTCTTAGTTTTATTTTTTTTTATTTTTGTATTATTATGTAAAATTGTCAGATAGCAATGCACTGGGTATCCTATCTTCAGTAATAGCAATAGGAGACTTCCACACTAAAGATAGCCAGTAGTTAGCAGCAACTTGCCACTCTTTGTTTTAGTGTAGAATTCCTTCACTAATATCAGTATTGATATTAGCAGAGGGAATACTTTTGGTATTAAGATTAAGTCAAGGATTAAAATTAAGGATTATTATTCAGTTTAGAATAAGGATTAGGTTTATTACTAGGTTTATGATTAGGTTTATAATTAATTTTAGTATTGGGATTATGTTTCAGATTAGGAATCGGATTATGGTTCAGATTATGATTAAATTCAGCACAGGAATCCCTCTGCTGAACTCATCAATCCTTCTTTCACTGTCGCGATAGTTAGGATTAAGGATATAATAAGGGTGTCATGATCTTGTCCAGGTCAGATAGGATACTTATGCCAGGGTTGTTATTTGAGACTTTATTTGTGCTTTTAGACATATTATGCAACTTCAGGGAAAACAGACTTTAGGCAATATGCCACAAAACAGGATACTTGCAAATAAAGAAAACAAAGGCAGGTTGGTATCAACAGCAGGCAGGCTGATAACAGTAGAAGGCTGATAATGGAGGCAGGTTTGTAACACAGGAAGGCTGGTAAAAGAAGCAGAGGTCAAAATCATACGTGAGAGTGGAGCAGGTTTAAAGGCAAGTCTGGAGCAGGTTGGTATGGAGCAGGGTAGAAGGTAAATCTGGAGCAGGTTGGTATGGAGCAGGGTAGAAGGTAAGTTTGGACCAGGTTCACGGGAGCCAGGAACTGAAGTCTTTCAGGTAGATCATTAACTTCATTGTAAAGGCCCTGTTGTGAGCAGGGTGTAGCCTTATGTAGCTGAAGCAAGTAATTAGTCCTAGGCAGGTGAGGACTGAGGTGACTAGTGGCTAGGGAGGCCACTAGTGGTTGAGAGCTGGAACTTCTTTTTAAAGGAACAGAAACAAAAGGAAGATAAAACATAGCTGTCAGGATACGATCCTGACATAGGGTTAGACATGGGATTACGGTATGACATACAGTTGAGGTGAGGTGCATGATTAGATTTAGGATTAGATTTGGAATTAGGATTTGGTTTAGAATTATGACATGGTTTAGCATTAGGAATTTAGATTTGGATTTAGATCATTACTTTCCAAAGATATAGATATGAGATATTGATGTATTGAGGAGATGTTGCTGAGTACAGCTATGATATATTCGCAGTACACACTGTACATTACTGGAGGCTCTGTATTATCCCAGAACCTCCAGTAATTCACAGTGTGTACATTACTGGGGGTTCTGTAATATAAAAGTACGCACTGCACATTACCGGGGGCTCAGTAATATCCAAGTATACACTGCACATTACTGGGGGCTCTGTAATATCTTAGTACACACTGCACATTACTGGGGGCTGTGAATTATCCCAGTACATATTGCACATTACTGGGGGCTCTGTAATCTCTCAGTACACACTACACATTACTGGGGGCTTTGTAATATCCCAGTACACACTGCACATTACTGGGGGCTCTGTAGTATACCAGTACACACTGCACATTACTGGGGTCTCTGTAATAACTCAGTACACACTGCACATTAATGAGGGCTGTGTAATATCCCAGCACACCTGCACATTACTTGGGACTTTGTAATCTCTCAGTACACACTGCACAATAGTTTGTCTCTGTCATATTCCAGCACACACTGCACAATAGTTTGTCTCTGTCATATTCCAGCACACACTGCACATTACTGGGGGCTCTGTAATATCCCAGTACAAACTGGACATTACTGGAGGCTCTGTAATATCCTAGTAAACACTGCACATTACTGGGAGCTGTGTAATATCCCAGTACACACTGCACATTATTGAGGGCTCTAATCTCTCAGTACACACTGCACATTACTAGGGGCTTTGTAATATCCTAGTACACACTGTACATTACTGGGAGCTCTGTAATATCCCAGTACACACTGCATATTACGGAGGGCTCCATGACTCCCCACTCTGCAATTCCTTGCACGTTAGTTGCCCAAACTACCATCCCATTACATTTTTGCATTTATAGTATTACTCAGACTTTCACCTTTCACTGCCTGATCTTGGAATTGTACTCCACAAAAGCATTTGATGAGTTTGCCTCAAGTTTCCACCTAATGCAGCACCTTTGACTTAAGGAGCTTTAAAATAGAGGAGATAAGTAGTTGTAATGTGTAAATGTGTAATAGTTATTTTCCTAACTTAACATGTATCCCTCTCCTCCCTGCAATCTCCAACAGCATGCCCATACCAGCCTAATTCCTACAAGCGCTCTGATTTTGCTGCAGGTTGCAAAGACATCCCCTGATGATATCAGACGCCTAGCCTGCAGCTTACCCAGTGCTCAATCAGGAGGAGAGGAAGCTGCAAGATTAACAGGTTAGCCAGTAGTGTGAGACTATTACAGCAGGATGAGCCTGGGAGCTGGAGCTCCACCTGCGCCTATGTTAATCTGGCCCTGTGGACTGAGAGGTCTTCCATTACCTGTGTCTGTTTCCATGTTTGTAACCACATCTGATCATTCTGGTCTCTGCTGAAAGGTTCTGTATACTTACTGGGCTTCGCGCAAAGGGCGGATCTACCTTGCCGGCCTCCAGCTCATCCCAGTCAATTGACTGGAAGAAAGGATGTCTGCGGATATTGCCAGCTGCCTCTAAGCGCTCTGATGGGTTCTTACACATGAGCTGTAAATGGAAAAAGGTCTATAATAAAACTGCCTTTGTTCATTGGCTAAAAAAACATACAAACACAATTTAGAGGGTAGATCAGCAATTATTAAAATCTGAATTGCAGTACTACAAAGTTAAAGCGGCACTGTCATGCCGAACTTACCTTTCTTTAATCGATTCCTCTTCTCTCCGTCTGTCAGGATCTGTTCTTCATTTCTTCCTGTCTGCTCTAGTTTTCTGTAAAACATTAGACAAAGTAGGGACTACTTTGTCTTATGGAGGTTTCCTACTCTTGACCAGCTTTGACCAGCGTAGGAGCAAAGCGTGCTTTGTTTCCGGTGATCAAAGCAATTTTCCCACAATTCTGATCTTTGATGCGTGATCTCGCGATGATTCCTGTTAGTAGTCCTTAACGTCCTGTCGCTTAGAGAGCAGGCCAGCGAAACTACAGAATTTCATCCTAACAGAATGAGAAACGTTCCCCCATTCGTGTTAGGATGCAATTTGGCACTTGTTCGGAATTTCATTCTAATGAATGAAACTCCGATCCTATTCGTGCCGTGGCTGCATCTTGCAGCCGCTAAGTAGATAACTCCCTAATTCCCACGATATCAGGGAGCTATATACCAAAAGGCTGAAATACCTTCTTAATTGGTCTTTCAGCCAAATTTACTAATATTAAGTAAAGATTACTTAGTATTAGTAAATTCTGCCCTTTCTTGCTATATCGCGAGTAGGGGCCTGTCTAGTAAACAGTAACCAGTGGCTGCTCACTGTAAACCCCCCCCAAATAAAACTCCTGAGCCGCGCGAACAGGAGACTGGGGGGGACCTATAGTCCTCCCCACCGACCCCCACCCATGAGTGGCGGGTGAGGGCCCTAAATTATAATAAAGTGCGGGGACCTTTTGGCCTCCCCCACCCCTGAGCTGCGGGTGGGGGCTCTAAATGAAAATGTGTGTGTGGGGGGAAGAACCTATTGTCCTCCCCCCTGCCCCCACTCATGAGCGGTGGATGGGGGCCCTAAATAACAATAAGGAGGGGGACTTATTGTCCTCCCCTGCGGCCTCCACCCATGAGTGGCGGGTGGGGTCTCTAAATAACAATAAGGGGGGAGGGAATAGCAACCAGAGTGTTGTTATGAGTCAAATTACACAGCATGGGAAAATTCTAAAGAACTTTCCCACGCTGTGTAAAATGACAGAGCACTCTGATTGTTTGGATTTCAAGTCAACCAATGAGAGTACTGTGACAGGTAAATTTAGAGACTTACCTGTCAGTCTCTTCATTTACCTGTCAGAGCACTCTGATTGGTTGGCTTAAACCAACCAATCAGAGCGCTCTGAGCCTAATTGCAGGGCGTGGGAGGAGGGGAGGACAATAGGTTGCCCCCCCCATTTTCATTTAGGGCACCCACCCGCCGTTCAGGGGTGGGGGCAGACAATAGGTCCCTCCCCCTTATTATAATTTAGGGCCCCCACCCGCTGCTCATAGGTGGGGCTGGGGGGACGACTATAGGTTCCCCCCCTCTTATTGTTATTTACGCCCCCACCCACAGGCCAGTGGCTGCTCACTGTTTACTAGACATGCCCCTACTCGTGGCATAGTGAGTAGGGGCAGAATTTACTAATACTAAGTAATCTTTACTTAGTATTCATAAATTTGGCTGCAAGACCAATTTAGGTCTTTCAGCCTTTTGGTAGATAGCTCCCTGATACCGTGGGAATTAGGGAACTATCTACTAAGCGGCTGCAAGATGCAGCCGGGGCACGGATAGGATTAGAGCTTCATTTATTAGAATGAAATTCTGATCCGAACAAAGTCCCGAATTACATCCTAACACGAATGGAGGAACTGTTCTCATTCTGTTAGGACGAAATTCGGTAGTTTCACCGGCGTTCTGTCTAAGCGACAGGGCGTTCGGGACTACTGACAGGAAGCATCGCGAGATCACGCATCAAAGGTGAGAATTGTGGGAAAATTGCTTTGATCACCGGAAACGAAGCACACGTTGCTCCTCCACTGGTCAAGTGTAGGAAACCTCTATATTTACGTTATATAGAAAACTTAAGCATACAGGAAGAAATGAAGAACAGATTCTGACAGAGGGAGAGAAGAGGAATCGATCAACAAAAGGTAAGTTCTGTATGACATTGCTGCTTTAAAAGGATGTTCCAAGCATCACAGTTCCAAAATGATTAATGATACACTTACTTTATTTTCTGCTCCTGTACATAATAGGAAGTGTCGCATGCCCTAACTACAAAACACAAACTATACCTTCATGCATGGCTAGTTCTTCCTTGTTTTAGATATGTTATCATGGTGTTCTTAACCTTCAAGTTATTTATCTCGTTCTCCTTCATGAGATGCCTCCCCTATATATATTGTGCTATCTTTACAATTACAACATACAATTAATCTTCCCAGCTATGGATTGCTGGTGTGAGCAGTATGCATCTCACTGAATTAATATCTGATTACTTGATTTTGATATTACAGTATATAGACAATGTGGTAATTTATGGGCATATACTGTTACTCTATGTTATTAGTTTTCTGTATAAAAAATGAATCTCTTTTATATTTGGAAAGAGTAACTCTTTCATAGAATTAGTTTCTTGTTGCAGGACATTAACCTAGAGCGCCAGATCATACACACCTTTTTCAGTAAATCTTTGACATTGTTTCTCTGACACTCAGGGTGGTTTGCGGTGTCTTGAAGCATGGATTCGGTAGCACTTCGGTCTTTGGGAAATGCTTTCTTGGCAATCTTATGGAGGATGAGGCCATAAGCCCACCAGTCTATAGCAGCATTGTATTTCTTCCCTTTACGCATCTGCCAAAATAATTTCAGAGACAATTAGTCAAGCGTTTCTATAGAGGAGAGAAAGTATTACTTCCACATATAATGCTATTCTCATCCTCTGCCCATTGAAATAGGCAACTTTTAAACAGCAAAGAACAGAAGTATACCACTGATTGGATGGGACAAAATACACAATCACTGTTTTTAAGGTATTTTCACATTTTAAAGTATTATCTTGGAGAGCATAGCCAGTCAGCTTTATCATCAGCCATGATACATAACCCGTGCTTAATATTACATCAATCGAAGGATTGATTATTATAGGTGAGAATAATATGGGCATTGTTGAAAATGCTATATTTGCAAGGTTTTCAACTTTATTTATACACATACTTTAAAATAATAATAAAAATCATCCAAAAACAAAACACTACACATTGATAATTACATAAAATTAAAGAGCTTATTGAGAATACACAATTAACAATAATCAATTTATGCTGTACCAATATCCATTTATAGTGAACCTGATTTTCCTTTGTAATTTTTTTTTCTGAATAGCAGAGTGATGATTGGAATTGGTTCACTAATTAAAGTGTATAAAGCATTTTGTCTGACATGTATTCTAGCACATGATTCTAGATTGGGATGCTGTTCCAGTCTTTATATACAAAGGGTAACTCTGGGCCACAGTTCTAAAATCACCACAAAAACGAACAAACCTTTTTTTAATATAAATTATATGGATGCTTATAACATGAGTTTTGAACTCATAGATAAAGTATACAGTATGAAATTAGGAAGTTACTGAACAATTTTGTAAGCCTAACCTAAGTATTAACCTTACTTTATGTAACATAAACAATAATTGCTAAAATATTAAGTTATTCCTTTAATAGGTTATGGAAATTATAATACAAATTGTTTAAAAGCAGGGATATCAAACATTGGCCCCCCAAATGTTAAAGGACCACTAAAGTCATCCAGACCACTTCATCTCAACAAAGTGGTCGGAGTGCCGTGGTCCTGTCAATTTAATCCTGCAAAATAAAACATTGATGTTTTGTAGAAAAACACACACCTCCAGTGGCTGCCTTCCAGCTTTTCTAACTATGTTAATCTGCGGAGTGATTATTGCTCTTGGTGAAGTGTAATATGTTTTTGTCATGAAGCCTTAAACACAAACAGTAGTACACAGCAGCCATGGTCCATCCCTACCTCTGGAGCCATATAATTTTCGGTGCCAGCGTATCCTCTTGCGGTCTTCTTTCCGTGCATCTCCAGCGCCAGTCCAAAATCTCCAATCCTGATGTGGCCCTTCGCATCCAACATGATGTTCCTTGGCTTTATGTCTCTGTAGAGAGAATAATTCTATAATTGATATAGTTTATAGAAAGTACTGGAAGTAAGAAAATAGAGTTGCTGAAATCAGTCAGTGTTTTCAGGTTCTAGGCCAATCTGATATGATTTGAAAGAATCCCTTCTGTCATTGGAATAATTAGTTGCTATAATGTCTGGAATCCCCAGTTGCCATCTTACCTTATAGTGTTAAACCATTTTGAATAGTTTATCTTAATGAAGTGGTATAGGTGATGTGATCCTGCCATTTTAACTTTACAATGTAAAATATTGCAGTTTAGAAACTGCAATGTTTATATTGTATATTGCAGGGTTTTACAAATATCGAGTGGCTGTTTTCCTGGCAGCCACTAGATACACTTCTTCTGCAACAACCGAGTTGACACAATCATGGGCCATTCCATGTCCCCATCAAACCCAAGTATTAGATTCAATGCTTAGCTGTGAGAAGCATACTGAGCAGATGGCACTCGCCACCCACATGCATCTCGTCCCCAATGCTCCTCTAGCAAAGTCTCCAGAATGACATTGTGGGAAGAAAATTGGGCTGCAACGCAGAGTGATTCTGGGCAATGGAAGACAGTTATATTAAAATCTTTTTTCAGGCTTTCAAGCAGAGCGCTCCTGCAGCAAGGTGGAATGTGGCTACAGAAACCTACCAAGCCAGGGACTATCCAACGACCCTATACTCCTCACTCACCCGCCCAGACGGCAGCAGCGAGTCAATGTGGCCAAGATCCCAGCATGAAATTCTCCTTGCCACACTGAACACTGCCGTGATCCTGACCTTAGAAGGCTCTCTCACACGGTTCCAGCGGCTCTGCAGAACAGGCATCGGCTGACCTCCCACGAGTAATAAGGGTTCCCCCTGTAATGTCCCTGAATCGTTAAGCCTGTCTGCTTTACAGTGCTTGCTGTATCAACCTGACTTCTATGATTTCCTTTTAAATGGAAGTGCAGCATAGTAATGAATTTGATCACAGTGGATTAATTACTCATCCGTGTTAACCTAGCTTGCTAAGCAAAATTAATGCTATCTACCATACATGTCTAGAATTATACTTGTGCCATTTTTTTTTTCATTAGCACTTAGACATGTCTTAGACTGAAAATAAAGTCTTTACCCATATTGATAACGCCGATTGGCGAAACGCGTTTATGGTTTTTATATTGTGTAATTTTTAAATATTAAAGTATATTTGGTAACCTTTTATCATACCATTTATCTTTTTATACACATATATTTATTATTGTTACCTGGCATTATCTCTTTTTATTCGCTGGACTCCAAGCAATCCTAGGTGGGGATTATACCACCAATGCGAACTACTAGGAGCAGTTGACCTGCTCCTGTCTTGTGAGTATCCACTTTTATTTTCACATATTTTATTCAAAGTTTTACACAGAGAACACTATTGCCTGTCTCTTTTTATTTGAGTGTCTTTCATATTACGGAAGGAGGAAGTACGTGAAGGAAATTCATCCCATATCCTACAAGCGGGGATCTAAACCGCTGTACGCCCTCTATACCAGAGCGGGTTCTAGCTCTTTTAAATGTGAGTTTGCAATCAAGTATTACATTTCAACTTCCATTTTATTCAGATATACTACACTATTTCGGCTCTGTATTTGTTCATATTTCTTGCATATGAGACGGTCCATAAGGAAGATAACAAGCAAGACTACTGTTTCGGACCAAGTATCATTACATAATACGATTCCAATGGACATTGCCAGATAAGACTCTCTCTTTTTATCCATTGATTTTATCTGGACTTTTCGTATTATTTAAGTTTTATCCAAGCGCAACCTTTTTCTGTATTTTCTACCTTTCTGTGTTTTGTTTTAAGGGTTTTTGAGGGATTCCCTTATAGGGTTGCTGCTAATCTGTGTTATCTAGCGCTCACTCATTGTTCTGGTTTTAAGACCTACCCTCAGCCTGGAACAAACGCCAGCGAGCAAAGCTGACATACAAAACCTGCTAAGGGAAATGAAAACCCTATTTGCTGCAGATATTGCATTGGTTCGGAAGGACTTGGGGGTAATCACAGCTCGACTGCAATCGTTGGAAGACTCTGGTGACACTGCGCACTGCGGGCAGGATGCTCAGCAGTCCGAGCTAGACAAGCTCAAGCAAGCAAATCTCCTCATGGAAGGCAGAATAGCAGTGCTGGAAGACTCCAAGCGACAACGCAATCTCAAGATTTGGAGCGTCCCTGAGGATGTTACGGACTCCGAAATCCCTCACTACCTCCGCCGCCTGCTAAGCAGCGTACTAACACCATCCAAAGCTAAAGCGATCTTGCTAGACAACTACTTCAGGATCCCAAAACCAGCTAAGGCCCCGGACGGGGCTTCCAGGGACTTGCTAATATGCTTTCAATCACTGCGCAGTAAGCAGCTGGTACAAGCAGCCATCTGCGACGCACCTTCATACCATTTCGAAGGAGCCGACCTTACCTTCTTTAACGACCTGACGCGGTCCACCATTGTCTGGCAGCAAGCCCTCCGTCCATTAACCCAGCACTTGAGACAGCACGAGGTGGCATACTGCTGGGGTCCAGGCCGCAAACTTACTGTGCTTCACGACAGAAAGAGAATCCCGCTACAGCAACAATCGGATGCAAGGAAATTCTTCAAGGCACTGGGGCTGCCTACTCCAGAGGCCCAGCAGGCACACACTCTAGGTGCGGACTCCCAACCATCGACCCAGATGTGGGACGTGAGAAATGTCCGACCCTTCTACCCGAAAACAAGACCCACAGCAGTGGAATCAAACCTGGTCGGCACTTCAGATTTGTCTCCGGCACAGGGACAGTCCTTCTAATTCACCCTCGGATGCTCACACCACCAATATAAAGTGTCACTAGTCTGATGCAACCTATTTAAATGTTATTTGTCTTTACTAATTGATGTTCCTCCACAATTGCTCTTACTTGAGACTAAACCCTCTCCCCCCCCCCCCATTGCAAGCAGAATACTTAGAGTATTACAATGTGCAATGTTAAAATGATAAGAATTACTCATGACAGCTTCACAGCATTGTATTCTATATATCACTTGACCCATGTCGCTGGTAATATGTTTCCTTGAATGCACAAATTTTTTTTAGCATGATATGCTTTTTACAGTTTGTATGGCTCCTGTGTGCTACAATAAAATACAAATAATAAAAAAAAAAAAAAGGCTATTAAAGAGAAATATAAGAATTTAGCTAAATAATACAGATAAAATGGAAGAAAAATGACAACACAGAGTAGAAAGAATAAGCTCTTTGTAAATTGTGCTTAAAGAATGTGTAATTACCGATGCACAATGTCGTGTCGGTGGAGAAACTGGAGCCCACATGCCATCTCTGCAGCGAAGAATCTGATAAACAAGAATTGAATAATGTATCAAGTACAGAGTATTTAATACAGAATAAGCTTAGTCTTTAAAATGAGAACTTCCTAAATGAGTTGACCTAGGGAAATCTACCTGCCATAATTCTATTATAATGTATAAATATATAATAAATAACTAACAAAATTACTGCCCTAGAACTAAGAAACACAGGTTGAAGACACCTAATGATATATATCTGTGTACCTCAAATCCTCATTGATTGTAAGCTCCTTTTAGTAGGGTGTACAATTATCCCCTTTCTATAAATTGTAAAGCTATGTGGAATAGACTGGAACTTTAAAAATGCTAATAATAATAGTAATATCCAGGTGGGTTGAAACAATGCTCCTTTTCCTCCAAAAAAGCTGCTATTTTGACTATTACCTTCAGTGCCTGGACCACAATTTTATTTTACATATCTAGAAGTGGGGTTTGGATATCCTCTGATCCATTGCACCTTGGCTGCCTGCTGAGTCTGATATCCTCTACCTTTCTACAGCATGTGGGTGGTGACCATATGTGTGTGTGTGTAGGTGTGACAGTATCGGGAGTGATAGCTGTGCAGGAGAGTGACAGTCATGGGCGTCCGCAAATTTGTTTCCAGTGGGGGGCATAATTGTTTTAACATCCATGCTCTGCCCCTTTTTGACAGTGTTGAGAAATCTGGAACGTATATATATATATATATATATATATACACACACACACACACACACACACACACACTTATATTTCCTATATATGTATGGGTATTGCACAATGCCTCGATGTTGAGGCATCATACAATAATCCCCTCACCCCCTCACACGTGGCGCCCGGCAGTGTAGAGCAGAACATTGGAAGCCATCAGGCATGCTTTCGATGCTCTGCCTGTACTGAGTGCCTCGAGGGGTCGAGGCACTCAGTTAAAGTAAAAAAATTAATAAATTAAATTATTTTTTAAAAAATTATCCCCTACCCTTCCTCCCTCTACCTCCCCATGTACTTACCGTTTGCTGCACTATCCCTGCCGACAGATTTGTCTTCTTCTGAGGGACAGACAGTCCCCCCTCTGCAATTTAGGACCCCCAGGGGACATGTGGCCGCTCTAAAAGAGCGGTCACATGGCCGCAATAGGTGTCCACAGTGCTGCCAGCAGGGGGACTGCCTGAACTGACAGGCAGACCCCCTGCTGGTGGAAAAAGGTTAAAAAAAATTTAAAATAAAGTTAATAAATTTAAAAAATATATATGTATATCTATATATAATATGTATATATAATGTCATACTAAGTGTATTTTCTATTAATATATACATATATTAATCTAAAAATACACTTAGAGTAAAATTCACACATGTGTATATATATTTAATAAGTATATATTGTATATATACATATATTATTATAAAAATAAATAATTAAAAATAAATAAAAACCTGTAAAAATATATATATATTTAACCCCTTAATGACTGGACTGTTTTTGCGATGTTGTACATTTGCGACCAGGCCTCTTTTTACACTTTTGTGGTGTTTTTGTATAGCTGTAATTTTCCGCTCTCTCATTTACTGTTCCTATATAAATTATATATATATATATTTTTTTTAAGGACAAAAAACGTCTTTCTTTACATACCATGATTTATATAATCTCATGTAATTTAATTTAAAAATAAAAATAAAAAAAAATGATGAAAATTAAAAAAAAAATGTTTTTTGACTTTTACTTCAAAAATCTTTTACTCATCTACAAAAGCGAATAAAAAAAATGCTAAATAGATTCAAAATTTTGTCCTGAGTTTTAAAATACTCAGTGTTTACATGCTTTTTTGCAAGTTATAGGCCTATAGGTACAAGTAGGATATTGAGGTTTCAAAGCATAAATTTTTTCAAATGTATCAATAGTGACATTGTAACACTTATCTGTCATAAATCTCTGAATAACACCCCACATGTACATATTTTTTTTTAAAGTAGACAACCCAGGGTATTCAATATGGGGTATGTCCAGTTTTTTTGTTTTAGTAGCCACCTAGTCGCACTGGCCAAAGTTAGCGTTCATATTTGTATGTGTGTGAAAAAAGTAAAAAACTAAATTGAATGCTAATTTTGGCCAGTGTTTGTGACTAAGTGGCTACTAAAAAAGACTGGACATACACCATTTGCATTATCTTGGGTTGTCTTCTTTTGCAAATGGTATGCCATCATGGGGGTAATTCTCATTTACCATACATTCTCAAAGGCAACGTAACCAACCTGGCCATTTTCAATCTAAAAATATTTGACCCATATATTTGACCTTGTAACTTTCAAAAACGCAATAAAATCTGTACATGGGGGTACTATTATACTCGGGAGACTTTGCTGAACACAAATATTAGTGTTTCAAAACAGGAAAACGTGTCACAACAATTATATCATCAGTAAAAGTGCTGTATGTGTGTGAAAAATGTGAAAAGTCACTTTCACTGACAATATAATCGCTGTGATATGTTTTACTGATTTGAATCACTAATATTTGTGTTCAGCGAAGTCTCCCAAGTAAAACGGTACCCCCCCATGTACAGGTTTTAGGGTGTCATAGAAAGTTACAGGGTAAAATACAGTGCTAGCAAATTAAATTCTCTGGACTTTCGGCCTGGGTTGGCAGGCAGGTCCCTCAAATTGCAATTAATAAAATTACTTAATTATGTAAAAATATTACATAAATACACACGTAGAATTTAAATATATATGCATATTTATATATTTGAAGTCTACGTGTATATTTATATAATTATTTATGTAATTTTGTATATGGACATATGTATATTTCGTATTATTTTTATTTATTTATACATACATAGATATATATACAATTTCATTCTAAGTGTATTTTGATATGTATATATATTTTAATATCAAAATACAGTTAGAATAGAATTTCATATAGATATAATTTTTTTTAATTTTTATTATTTTAAATTTTTTTATTTAATTTAATCTACTTATTATTTGTATTTTATAATACACGTGTGTAATTTAATTATAAGTGTATTTTTATATTAATATATGTACATATTAATATAAAAATACACTTAGTATAACATTATATATATGATATATACACATATATAATTTTTAATTTTTTTTTTATTAACATTAACTTTTTTTATTTTACACTAGTAGGGAGACTGCCTGTCAGCACAGGCAGTCCCCCTGCAGGCAGACACATGGACACCTATTGTGACCATGTGATCGCTCTGTTAAGCGATCACATGGCCACAGGGGTCCTTATCCGCCATGGGGAGACTGTCTGGGCTGCAGGCAGTCTCCCCACAACGGGAGCACCGCCGAGGGAACAACGGCGATTGGGTAAGTACACTGGACCGTTAAGACGGTTCAGGACCGTCACCGGTCGGCAATGCAAAAATGCCGATGACGGTCCTGAACCATCCTCAGTCCTGAAGGGGTTTAAAAAAAAAAATTAAAATAAATAAATAAATAAATAAATATATATATATATATATATATATATACACATACATACACACACAAATACACGTGTCCCGCACTCACAGTTCCCGGTCTTGTTGTTGCCTTGGTGCAATCCCCGACTTAAATATGATATCTTGATGGAGAGCACTCAAAGGACTCAAAATGTATTTCAAATAGTGCGTTTTATTTAAGCATCAAATCTTTAGATACAGAGTGTCGACGTTTCAGTCCCACTGGACTTATCAAAACTTGATAAAAGTCATGTGGGACTGAAACATCAACACTCTGTATCCAAAGATTTGATGCTTAAATAAAAAGCACTTTTTGAAAAATAAATTTTGAGTCCTTTGAGTGCTCTCCATCAAGATATCATATATATATATATATATATATATATACACACATATAATTTTATTCTAACTGTATTTTAATATTAATATATATATTTATGTCAAAATACACTTAAAATAAAATTAGCTGCGGACGTACCTCATACTTAAGGACC